TTTATACGTTAATTGATAGAAAATTCCTTAAAAAATATGTATATATTCCACCCATATGTCATAACCCATGAGACTAATAAAAATTTATTATCAAACGGAACTACTAATAAATAAAAAATTAACCATAAAAAAAAAATAAACATTCAAAAAAATAGATTTAAAAATATATATGTAATCTTGCTCATTTTTAATTATCTTTGTTCTGCTTTCTCAAATGAATAGAAATAAGAAAATAATGGAAGAACACAAGCAACAAAAAACAAAAAACATGACACATGAAGAAAGCTTATTTAGTAAATTAAAAGGTAGAAATGAAGATATAAGAGGACCATAAAAACATATTTTTTTTCGATCAACGAACATGAAACATGTTTTTCTAATTAGTTTAATACTTAAAAATTAAAAATATTTCATCCGTGTATTATACAGGAAGTTACCTTTTATTTGTCGAAGTAGGGAGTCACCTAGTTTCATGATATACAGTTTCCATTCCAAAATTCTTTGACTGTATATCATATTAACCAAGTGGTGGTAGCTTAGTGGTAAAAAAACTCAGGAGAAAAATATAAACTCTTTTAACCTGAGTTCGATTTTCTCTCGAAAGAATTTTACTTCCATTTGACCAGTCGAAATAGTGTCACATTTTAAATCTATTAAAAACTCCGGTGAATGGACTACTTGACAGCTACATTCATCCTAGAATATTAGTCGGGTGGTAAAAATTCGGACATCTCTTGTTGTAAAAAAAAAAAAAAGTCAACCATATTGACTGTCGGCTGACGTGACACACTTGGCTAATAAGACATTCACATGAACATTTTTCGTCTATATTTGGCACGTGTGAGTCTACTGTATAAAGGAGAATTGGCCATGGAGTTTCCCACGTGCCATTGCAACAAGGGCTCCCTTTCAGTTTTTATTAACCACCTTATGGGCTTCCAGAGCCCACATTCCCGTTTTTTTGTTTTACATTTAGCTCCTCTCTAAACAAAAGGATCACCAAGGTAGATCCAAAGCTTAAGTGGCTCAAGCAAACCAATTTAGAGAATCGAACTCATGCCCACTAAAATCAGGTAAGTGCAATTCATTTCTTCAAGATTTTAATCGAATTACCACTACACTAGTTCAATTCCCTAGTTAAAAGATTAAAATTTAGACCCGAACTTCGAATTATCAAAAAAAAAAAATGTGATACTAATCTTTGTGTAATGCTATGAGAAAACTTATTTAACAATGTTGTAAACTGTGATTGCATAAATTTTTAAAAAGTTAAAAGTAAAAACCATATGTAACTATATAGTTTAAAAGATATAATATTTATGNTTTACCATATCTAAGCAAAAGACTTATAAAATGACTATAGATGTTAAATACTAGTATATTTTACGTAAAATCAAGACCCGTAATTTAGTGGTCAGTGTTATTTTCATAGTTGTTTTACCATCCGATTGAAATCAGACATGATTCAAATTTAATTGCATGGACATTCTAGTAAAGCATATGAGATTAGTTATCATGTATCAACCATTAGGTAAGAATTACAAGACTTTGCAATATCGTGAAAGAGTTTTATAAGTAGAAAACCAGAAGTTCGACTCATTAAGTAGCTGGAGAGTCGGAGACTAAGTCCGATTTATGAATTATTATATCATAGACAGTTTTCTCAATATATGTAATTTAAATATAATGTTCAATGACCTGGTCACTCTTAACTAGTAGAAGTATTCTGCAATTTATCAAAATAATCGTGGTCTGAATTTTCTACCGTGTCACTGTTGTCATGACAATGAATTTTTTTTAACAATGAATATTCGATGATTCCCATGATTCTATCCACATATTGTGTGTAGATTCATCCAAACCTCCATGACCGGCGCACCATATTCTCCGGGGAAAACGTAGTCACACACATCACAAATTATTGTAAGGTACCATGTTGTTATGCCTTTTATTGAATTATATATACATAGATTTGACATAGTAACACATGAACATCACTTGTTCAAAGATTTTGCATTGCATCATTGACAATAATAGTATTTTAGATTAATACAATAATGAGTTGTTTCGGCTGCAAAAAAATATATAATTACTTTAAACTAGTGTAGTAGTAGTACTAAATAAGATCAAATAATGCTAGTGTAACTAATAAGATCAATAATAAGATAAAGGGTTAATTTGCTCACTAGCAACAAAATATTAATAATTAGTAAAATAACAAAAACTAGCATATGTGGATATTATTGTGTCCATTAGATTTGAGTTAAAAGGTTATATTTTAAATTATAGATTTTTTTTTGGTTATTCAACCTAATTTCCCTAAGATAAATTCAAATTCCTTTCCACTTTGTTTTGAAGATATTGATGCGTCTTATCAAAAAGTATATATATAAATTGATACAAATAAAAATGTTAAACTAACTTTTATTCTCATTATTTTTCCAAGATATTTTTTTTCTCTCTCAGAAATCATATAAAAAAATGGTATATATATAACCCTACAACTCTAAATCCTTCACCCCATCCTTAAAATCCGCAACATTTTTTCAAGAAAAATTTATACCTTGACCAAAAGAAGAAAATTTTTGTTGGGATAATTGAAAAAAATGTCACTTTTGGTGTGTACATTTGTAAAAATACCACTATGGGTTGTCCACTTGCAAAAATACCACCAATTATGAATTTTATAGCCTAAATCTTAAAATTCTAGATTCTAAAATATGTTTTTGACTCATAAAAATCTTAAAACCCTCAAAACTAAACCTTATAACTCAAACATAAATGATATAATGAGTAAATAATTTTGAAAAAATAGCATTTTTACAAAGATTTTGAAAATATGGTATTTTTAAAAAGTGGCACTTCAAAAATGCTATTTCTCAAAATTTCTCAATTTTATTTATAGCCTCTTTAAATATTTTGGTTTTATATAGCCTCTTTAAATATTTTTTCAGACATGTAAATTTAATTGATGAGTTGCTCTATTTCTTTTGGTATCTCAATTTATCCAAAAATTATTATATTCCAGTGTTAAAAAAATCGAATTGATCGATGGTCAAAGTAAATTGAACCGTCGACCGAATATTTATGGGACAATTACAAAAATACCACTTTTTGTG